TTTTTTTAAAAAAGGACAAAAAAAGGGGGGGGGGTGGGGGGGGGGGGGGGGTACGCAAGCAGCCGCGGGAGGTGTTGAAGCGTCGATATAAACATGCATACGTCAAACCAAAAACAACGATGGCGTCACGCCCGCCGTGTGTTGTTGATTCAGAAAGGGGCCTGCTTGCGCAAAGCGACCAGAGAGAGAGAGAGAGAGAGAGAGAGCACATGCACAAGTCCCGCAGGGCAAAGCGAAACAGCAGCAGCAGCAGCAGCAGCACTGAGCTTTTTCCACGATGCCCGGGGGCGTGTTGTGTGCGTACAGTAGGGTGTTGAAGGTCAGCAGGCGACAGCACAAGCGACAAAAAAATAACCGGCACAGACGAGGTGGTAGGCGTGCGCGTATCGGAGACTCTGAAGTACTGCTGGTGCTCTCAGCCGCGATATCGTCGTCATCGCCGCCATAGGTTACCAGTAAAAATATGGTTGCAGCAGTGGAGGTGCCCGGTTTAGCGACCCCTATCGTAGTGTCCTGATGGAATTCTGGTTGCTATTCAGGGCAGGCCACCATTGCCAGCATATATAGCGGCTAGTGATCGGGGTGCAGTACATACAGTGGTGACACAAGATTTTTGCGGTCGCCAAAGATGGCAATGTCGCTAAACACGGGGTCGCTAAACGGTCTCCACCCCCACTGTAAAACAATACGTCTAGTCTTTCTGGAGTTTTTCTATCCAATTTTTCTAAAAACTCACGTACGGCGACGCCCTTGCACAGCCAGGGAGTTCCCACGAGCGAAAGCGCCATCAGGCACTGGGGGATGAAGACGATGAAGATGAACATCGGCCACTGGGAGGTGGCGTGGTTGACGATCTTTCGGGCGTCGGGGAAGTCGTCGAGGGACTCCCAGGCGATCACGCCGATCGCTTGCCCGAACCGCACAAACACACTGTTTTTCGTTTGGGGGGGGGAGGGGGCCCGGTGGATTAAATGGTGTTATTTATTTATTTTATTTTTTTGGGGGGGGAGGGGGTAAAAGTCGAGTGTCAAGGTTCACAATCATGCGCTGTTCGTATTGATGCTCATCTGCATTTGCCAGTGAAGGTGCCACCGGCATTTCGACACAACACGGGGCAGGAACGTGTTGAACTGAAAACCTCTTCGAGTAACGGCTGGACGGGTGAGGTGTGTTGCCGCGCCGGAAGCTCCTGACACGACGAAAAACAAAAGAACATGCTGGAAAAGATAACCGCGCAGAGAATAAGAAAAAGAGTATTCTCAAAACCGGAAGGAAAAAAAAAAAAAACGGAAGCCAAGGGCGGGCACACTCACACAACCCGGATGTGTGGTGCGGAGCACGACAAGACAAAAAACACATTCGCATGCGCTGGCTGGTGGTACGGCGGTGGCGGCGGCACCAGCAGCACCAGCGCCCGCCACTGCCAAAGCGGGCACGGACTGGGGTCCACTACCACCACCACCAGCACGCCCCTGGTAACCGCGCCACAACGGACCTCATTGACAGCGACGACCACGACGACGATAACCAGACTGCCTCCTCTGCTGTGTGCCAGGGCTCGGCGACCAAACTACCGGTGCTGCCATGCATGCGCACCAGGGCTTTCTTCGTTCTCGCCTCACCGGATGGTGGAGTACGTGACGTAAAACGTGGCGAAGCCGTGCGCGATGGACCGATTCAGCGAGAAGTCGAAGGCGTGCTTCGCGGCCAGTCCCGAAATGTCCAGGGTGACGCTGAAGGAAAACACGCGCGGGCGAGAAAGCACGCCAACATAATGCACATAGCGCATTTAGGGGGCAGAGGGGAGGGGAGGGGAGGGGCATGCTCTGATGTTTTGCATGCCTTAGCGGTGGGACCATTGACCACGCGTCCTCGAGAGGACGGAGCATTGTTCCCACAGGACCGATCACCGATGGCCAATCGTTCCTTCCTACTTTGCCAAAGGCGACTCAAAAATGTCTTCCCTAGGCTACCTATCCTAACGATATCACTTGTTTCGTCCACATCCTTAGTTGCTAGACCATTCACCACGGGGACGGGGCCGGGGGGGGCGTATTCGGAGCAAGCCCGAAACAGGCGATGGTCGTGTATTCCCGCATGCAGTTTTGTTCGCTGAAGAGCCGTCCTCACAGGCACATTTTACACCAATGGTCGACCAAAAGGAGTAATCGTACGTGGATATCTTGTATTTGATTCCGGTTGAAGAGAGGTGGTGTCGGCTTGGCGCAAAAATAACGGTGAATTCGCGCCCATCGCGTACCGCATTTGGTTCTCCATTCTATTGTGTGATTTTCCTGACTGCGGTTGGAGAAAAATCACATATCCTGGCTAGAGAGCAAGAGATCGAGTGAAACGATCGCAACTACAGCAGTTGTTGATGTCGAACGAGGCGGGGGCCGGGAGGTCTCTGGGACCGAAATTTTCTCTCAAGGCAAAAACAAATCTGAACGCCAACGCGAAAAGAAAGAGCTAACCTGCAGATGGCGTTGAGCAGGAAGGCGCCTAGGATGGCCAGCACTTGAAACATCATGTACCTGCGTTGGACAGGGGGGGGGGGGGGGGGGTCGTGCGGTCACGACAGGCATGAGAGGGCAGTCAACATCTCCAAAGGACGAGTGAACTATGTACACATTCATCTTGGATCTTTGTTCGACTAGAACCTGACGCCTAACACCGCCGAGTCCGAGAGAAACGGGTTCAGCGCGAAGCGACGGGCACGCTAGGCGGCGTCCTCGCACCCAGAGGATGGGCCTTTGAGCCCCCGTCCGCGCGCTCGAGCGTCTTCGATCGGCAATCTCAGCGGTCCAACGATACCCGCTAAGCTGTTACCAACGAAAACAACCTGCTCTGCTCAGAGGGAGGGGATCCCCTCCCGGAGGGTTCACGTGTTTCCACGGGTGAAGCAGCAAGTGAAAGGGAGGGAGAAAAAAGGCCTCGCCATGCGCCAGCAAAACAGACCGAGGAGACTAAAAAATCGCCAAGTGTGTTGCCACTTTTCGCGTGGACAAGGAAAGGGCGATGGTTGGAGAAATTGGGACGAAGTTCCCGCACGAAGAGAGGTTGAGACTCTGAACGGGGGGCTGGCGCTGTTTATCTGGAGGCATGTCGTATTGAGATCGATCACCGATGTCGTCAGACAGGGTGAATAAAGGCCAAAGGGTCCCGATATCGGCAGTTATTCAGCAGCAGATGGTTGGCTTCCGAACCCCAACGTCCTGGTTACGAATAAGTACCTGATTCATCGAAAAAAAACGGCCGAGCGGCTGGGGTGGACTGCAGACGGCACCGCGTTCAGCAGAACGAAGAGGTACAAATATGACCCTTGTCTTTCGAAGAGTAGGTAGGCGATCTTGCAAAGCGAGGTCGGGATCGCGCCTTGTCAAACTCCCGCGTTTTACTACCGCGTTTTGATAAGCTTTCCTGTTGCCGTCATCTTCTGACTCAAATAATACCGCAAAAGAGCGCGAATGATCACACGCCCCTTTTTCAGACCGTTTGTTCAAGGCTCGATTGCTCTACAATGAAGAGGCCGTGATTAACCGACCGATACGTGCAAGAAGAGCTCCCTCGACGTGAAAAAAAACAAACTTCCAAGGAGACCATTTTCGGTGCTGACAACCTGTGCAGCCATCGGACCATGAAAGCTGATCTATGTAGGGGGGCGTGCCATGACCCCCACTCTTGCGGTACCTGCACACCTAAACCTTCGATCATGACGAGGCGACTCGCTCAAGTTGCATGTATCGGGACAACAGTGCTGTGTTCTGCGACAGGGCCAAGCGAGACAGGTGCCGACACGCCAATCGGTCGTCTTTTCTGTCCCCCTTGTCTTTGCGAACAAACCTGGGATGCTTGATCACCGCTATCTCTGGGTGGCTTGCGTGTCGTATGACTCGAGGATACAGTACTTTGGTTCGTGGGCTCCGCAGTAAATAAATTGAGGGAGGCGACCGCAACCGCATTAAACAACAGAAGCTGCTGGGTGAATATGGCCTACTGTAGTTCAGTACGTGGGACTTGGGGTCCTGAACCAACACGCCTCCTTATCCTGTATATCTGTTACATCCAACGTCTGCAGGATATTCCTTCAGACTGGACTTACCTAGAAAGTCTTTCTCTGTTCTCTGTGGAGAGGAACTTCCATCGGTGACCTCGATGATCGATGGCTGTCCGCCTCGTCTTACTTCCTTTCACAACTATTACCTCTCTCAGGTTTCACCAGGCCTGTCCTACTGCTGTCCACGTCGTCCTACACGTGCCCCACTTCCTTTGTCGTTGCTCAATGAGAGGACGACTTGCTCACTGTAATAACAGAGAGTGCTTAACTCTCCATCGACTTCTGTCGCACTCTAGACGTGAAACCACTTGGCGTCAGCAGCGTGCACAAGCCGTAAATAAGTTTCTCCCCAACACCAACATTATGGGAACGGAGAGTCTACCGAGAATAGCTTGGGAGGCGAAGTGGGCTATCAAAAAGAGGGGTAGAAAACCCACGGAGTGGGTCAAGGTTGTAGAGGGCGTTTGTATGGAAGGGGTTCGAAATCGACGAAGGCGATACGCTGGATACGGCGGGTCTAAAAGGGTTCAAGGAGTACCTACATGGACCAATGGATGCAGGGACAAAAGCTGCAGGTCAAACTGGGGACACAGGCTTTCGAGACGAGAAATATACTGTAGGAAGGTAGACGCCAAGTTCGAATGTGATGTCGGCTCCAAGTGCCAAGACCGGGTTCATGAAGTCGCGGAATGTCGGCTGTACAAGAAGGAGAGGGAAGTGTACATGGCGGAGCTGGGAAAAAGTACAGGGAGGTGTTTGAGGCACGGGATAGCCAGGAGAAGGACGTGAGCTGTCCTGGGGCATAGGAAGTGGGCTGAAAAGGCGGGGAGTGATATCGGTAGGATACGTGGCCTACTAGGAAGACATTTTTGAGCCACCTTTGGCAAAGCAGGAAGGAACGATTGGCCATCGGTGATCGTTCCTGTGGGAACCATACGCCGTCCTCGCGAGGACGCGTGGTCAATGGTCTAACCGCTAAGGCAGGCAAAACTGTAAGAGTACGCCCTCCGCCCCCCCCTAACACCAACAGCTGCAGCCGGAAGGGCCTGGTGTAGAGCAGCAGCAGTGGATGCCACCGCATGAAGTATCCATACTACGGGTAAGTGACAAAGATGGACATGCCACACAGTAGGACTGGGAATTTTACGCACGAATAAGCTGCGGGTTGCTTGCTGTATAGCAGCAGGTAGGGTAACTGCAACCATGACGCCCAGGATGTTTGAGCTGCAGCGGAGTTCAACCAACGTCCATCTCACAGGAGCACAATGGCCGTTTAACAATGAACGCAGTCACCACTTTGGCGCTGCTTCTTCATGACGTTCATCTACTTCATGTTCGTACTCATGACTCACATGAAGAGCAAGCTAATGGTACGGTTGAAAGAAGGGAAGCGCTTGGACAGCACCCTCGGTGCATGGACGAGCCATGTCCGGATCGTCGACTCGAAGAGGTAGATGGGCTTGATGGCTTGTCTCACTCTGCTAGCACCAGGTGCTGCCTCCCACGACAGCACAGGACTCCATGACCCTACGACCCTCATAAAACGTCGCATTCCCTCGCCAGCAGACGTCCAAGCGCTCCTCCTACAGGCTCCCTCTCTCCCTGCTGACACATGTGCTGGTGTGTGATGCAACCGCGCCCTTCACAGTTCATGTGATGCCTTTGGTGCTGCGTGGAGACTCCGTGAATCAGTCGTCGAGTTCGTAAACGGGCGCGAATATTTGCAATCCATGGATTATAGAAGAGAACCACAGTCCAAACATCCATATGGATCGAAACCCCGGGCAAACCGCCCGGAGTGTCCCCGAAGAGGTTCTTCTCCCTCTCCTATAAAAGCAGCGATAATCACGGCGGCGGAGAGCCGTCTGAAGGCGGCGACACGCACCCGCACGCTGGGGGAAGACGAGGAGACAACACACAACGATAACTGGTGAGATCCCGTCCCGACAGGCGTCCGTGCATCCTCTGTGTCTGTGCCTCACCCTCACCCTCTCTGTGATGTTTTTTTTGGAAATAAAATAGCAACGGCCGCACCCGCACCAGCGCCATGTGTGTGTTGGTCTGTCTCCTGTGTTGCAGCCTCCCTCATGCTGTCCCACGTGTCGATGCTGCTCTGTACCTGTTGTTGCCGTCGTACGTACGTTGGTGATCATGTGCCTGCACTGGTGTGGTCAGGCCAGGCCAGGCCCTGCCTGTTGTCCTTGCCGTATAGTCCGGAGTCTTTTCTTCTGGCTGCTCGGCTGTATGGTGGTGCTACAGCAGTGCTGGGCTGGTAGAGGTGCAGGCATTGTGCACGCACTTGCCCAACCCCTTAACTTCATGTGTCTACCCTCCATGTTCGCGTCGTGGGACCCGTGGCCTGCCGTGCGGTAGTGTCATTGCTAGGAATGCTTCCATCCAGTGCTGCTCTGTCGGCCTCTTACGGTGCTCGTCATGCTGGCGCTGCGGGAGCCTTTGCGGGCTACCCTGTACAAGCCCACCCCGTACAGCAACAACAGCAGCAGATATTGACCACCAGCCCTCCGCCGGAAACGCAGGCGAGACGGGTTGATGTTTGACAAGTGCGGTTCGACGTGACACCGGCAATGTTTGTTCCGTGGGTGTAGCACGCCAGTGGATTGTCGCTGCTGTGCTGTACCTCGTGCCTTTCAACGCGTGCACGTACGGTTCGCTGTTTTCGTGAACTCAGCGGTGGACGGCGAAACGTTTCATTTGTCTTGTCTTGTGATCAAACGTTGACATGGTGTCCTTCCATTCCGCCGCGTGGTGGGTTTCGCGTGCGGTTGCAGGCCATGCTTTCACCTCGCACTGGTCTGCCGTTGGGAACTCCGGCCCCTGTGGGTGCTCCCGATGCTGGGGCCGCCGGAGGTTTTGCGGGCTACCCTGTACAAGCCCACCCCGTACAGCAACAACAGCAGCAGACATTGACCACCAGCCCCCCGCCGGAAACGCATGCGAGACGGGTTGGTGCTTGACACGTGCCGTTCGGCGT